AAAAGAAAAGAAAATCATGACAGCCTTTCTGATATCTGGTATTTTCAAACCACTCTGGGTTGGATTCCTGAATGGCCTGGACAAAGAATATGATAAGGCCCTGCCCTGGCACGTGGTAAATTCTCCATTTCTTTGTAATGTGCATATTATCTGGGCCTGAAGACTTCAGCTAATTTAAGGCAATTAGCAAGGAAGGAAAAGATGATTAGTTGAGCGCCTGTACACCAGGCACAGAGCTAAGCACTTTCTTACATGTTGTCTCATTTACTATTTCTTCACCCATCTTAGACTTCAACTTCCTCTATAAGATATACCTTCTAATCATGTCAAGTTTATTAATTCCCTAGTCATCCTGGTCATTAAGACTCCGCCTTCCAATGCGGAGGGTATGGGTTCGATCCCGGGAACTAAGATCCTGCATGCCATGCGGTATGGCCAAAAATTTTTTTTTTTTTAAAGTGTGGTCAAGTTTAGAGATTGTTCTACTTGATGGGAAATGTGAAAGGATATAAGAATCAAGTAATTGTTCCTTTTCACTGTAATCTGTTAATATTTTATCATCTTATCTCTGTAGCAGCAGACCTGTCCCATCTGCTCCACATAGCTCTTTGTTCTAAGGGTGCACCTTCCTGACACCATTCTTACAGGTTTAAGTTGTTCTTTCCCTAGTTTTGTTACCTGTCCTGTCTTTGTACGTGTTTGATCCCCTCCCTCTGAAGCTATGGTGGTGTCTGTAGATGTCTTCCCCTTTTCGTGATCTTTGGAATAATTAGTTATTGAACTGTCAGAATTCTCGTTTTAATGTCTTCAGTGTTTGTTGAACCATCTTATCTTTCAGACTCTTTGGCCATGATATTTCACTTTTTTTTTTTTCCTCTGAAGTTTTTGAAATATGTGCAGCAGACTTTATTATTATTTTTATTTTATTTTATCTTTTTTAACATCTTTATTGGGGTATAATTGCTTTACAATGGTGTGTTAGTTTCTGCTTTATAACAAAGTAAATCAGTTATACATATACATATGTTCCCATATCTCTTCCCTCTTGCGTCTCCCTCCCTCCCACCCTCCCTATCCCACTCCTCCAGGCTGTCACAAAACACCGAGCCAATATCCCTGTGCCATGCGGCTGCTTCCCACTAGCTATCTACCTTACGTTTGTTAGTGTGTATATGTCCATGACTCTCTCTCGCCCTGTCACAGCTCACCCTTCCCCCTCCCCATATCCTCAAGTCCGTTCTTCAGTAGGTCTGTGTCTTTATTCCTGTCTTACCCCTGGGTTCTTCATGACATTTTTTTTTTCTTCTTAAATTCCATATATATGTGTTAGCATACGGTATTTATCTTTTACTTTCTGACTTACTTCACTCTGTATGACAGACTCTAGGTCTATCCACCTCATTACAAATAGCTCAATTTCATTTCTTTTTATGGCTGAGTAATATTCCATTGTATATATGTGCCACATCTTCTTTATCCAATGATGGGCACTTAGGTTGTTTCCATGTCCTGGCTATTGTAAATAGAGCTTATGCAGCAGACTTTAAATAGACATATTTGACAAAGTCTAGTGTTCTCAATCTCTTCTATTATGAACTTTAATACAGTAAGGTCACTTTTTCCAATAATTCCTATATGTTGTACCACATTATCTTTTTCCTTTGAGAGTATCAGTTCTCAATTCTAAGAGGTCTTTGGTTAGATTTGATCCAACTTTTATTTTACAGCAAAGAAACATTATGGTAAATTTTGCAATGAAAGGGGTTTGTCCACAGGCGGTCCAGAACCAAAATTCCAGTTTGGGGCAGGTAGAAGTCTCAAGGGCAGGCACTCAGGGGGATCCTAATGAGGAATGTGTTGTAACACCTTGTACCCAGTAGATACTCAGTGGAATCTGATTGCTGATCATTTCTCGTCCTGCAGTGTGGGCCAAGCTGAAACTGCAGAAGGCGTCGGAACGATGGCAGCCTGACACTGAGGTGAGTGCTCACGTAGCATCAGGGAGAGCATCAAGTGACAGCTCCCTCACCATGTAGAAGGGAGGTAAGAGATGGTCCCTGGTTCACTGCAGTAGCAAGTGTAATGTGACAATATCTATAATTGGCTCTTGACTTGTAAGCCTAATTCATTGGTGGTATTAAATTAAATGTGTCAGACTTTAAATCTGTGTCTTAAGACAGGTTATATTCTCCCACTGAAGTTTTGAAGTGGCAAGCAGGAGTGCCCTGTGTCTTGTCCTGCCGTGAGGATTCATAAGCTAAGAAGTTGAGACTCCATGTCATACATTAGATATCCTTTGAGGAGAGCATCTGATGAGAGATGATCTTCTCCTGTGGTGGGGAGCTATCCTTGGTCCTGAGATAGTCATCCTGAACAGATTTCAGAGATGAGGAATGATGTGTATGTGAGGTACGGTAGCTGCTGCTTCTCTTTTAGGTCAGTGGTTTTCAGTGTCCCTTTTTTTAGCAGCAAAGCCTTTTTCAGACAGTAATGTAGAACTCCAATAAATAAAATAGAAAAAAGCAGAACTGCTCTGGATGTGGAGAAGCTCAGCCTTGGCTTTTCATCCCCTGTAGTGGTCTCTTAGGCAGAAACCTAGGATTCTTGGGAACCATTTGAAAACCATGTCTTAAGTGAGCCTTTCTCAACCAGGGTTCCTCATCTTAAATGCAGTGATTTGAATGAACTATTTTCTCAGATAGCCACAAGGATCTGTCATAATTGGTACCATCCTAGATGTCTAATAGGTGCTGTGAGCAATAGAGCAGAACCCCAGTTGAGAAAGGCTGTCTTAGACGAATGGCATGGAATCAGGCCAGGGTGAGCTCAGGTATCCAGAGGTTGGCTCCAAACATTTCTCCCAGGAGGTGTAGCTAATGGTGTTCCTCTTCCCTTTAGGAAGAGTACGAAGACTCCAGTGGGAATGTTGTGAACAAGAAGACGTACGAGGATCTGAAAAGACAAGGACTGCTCTAGTGTTCAGGGATGTTTCTCAGCTGTGGGGCTAGCCCAGTCTTCCTTAAGATCTGCTTTTTCTATTTCTCCCAGCCAAACGCTCCTAAAGACTCTTTGCTACTTAGTCTTACGGACTAGCATGCATCTTGTAGAAGCAAGGCATGCTGGCATATTGCAGGGTTGAGGTGTGTTTTATCTTTGTTTTATATTAAAAAAGATTCTGTTGGAAAATAAAACCAGCCCTTGTTCTGAATGTGTCTTGTTCTGAAGCCCGGGATTATGTATTAATTCAGTCCTCTAGTTCTTAACACCTCCCTACCTCTTTCTCACGATCTTCAGTAGCAACTGAAGTTTAATGAGCGTAAGCATAACATAAGTTTTATGTTATGTTACATATATTATGCTGGGTAATTCTGACTTAGCCTCATTCCCCCCCCCCCCAATTTGCTGCCACTTCTCCAAATGAGCATCACCCCAGGATAAGCCCTGCCCTTAGTTGAGTCAGCCATTCGTGCACATACTGTACTAGGGAAAGATGGGGAGGGTGAGCCAGGACCTCTGCTAAGGACAAAGTTGTGGCACCAGGGTTGCCTTTTTATTTGCATAAAGGAAGGACTTGGGCTGTTTTGGAATGGGCCTGCTGCCCTGCCCCTTCTCTAAGCGTCAGCAGCCTGGCACACAGTGAAACTAAGACCAGCACTGACTTCACCTGCTTGCTACTTCAGAACAAGAGGCTTTGGTCTCCCTTTGTCTTCCATGGGATCCTTACTTGACTGAGAAGTGGCTAATATTCTTGTGTTCTCCAAGCCCAGATTGCCAAGATCTGGGTGGAGTTGAGCAGCTGCCTCAGGATTTGAATCTGAGGGATTCAGATCCCAAAGGGAAAGAACTAGGGGAGCCAGGGGGCCCTGATCTGCCCACAGCACAGTCATCTGAAGGCCAGGGCCGGGGCCAGAACAGGATTCCCCAGAGGGCCCCTTTGCCCCTCAGCACCCAGACCTTCAGTTTGTTTGTAATATATCTACTTATACGTCTGCTTGGAAGGATCCCAGCTCCAGAGCTGGCCTTTCCCTCACTCTCATCTATTGCCCTAGTTATCTCCATGAGTAGGGCTTCACCACCAGGTTGGGATTTTCCTTACTGGCTCAACCCATCCCTTGGGCAACTCCTCACATGTTCATTTGTACTTTGGCTCCTCCAGTTGCTTAAAACCCCAGTTGGACAACCTCGCCAGAGCCTGAGTTTCTAAAGCAGAGCGAATTGATAATAAAACCGAATTGAGCCAACTAAAAACATTGATAACTGAAAATAGGCCCAAAGTGCAAGGAGACATTGCCTTTTGAGAAGAGAGTTAAAGCCTGGGAAATGGTGAACATGGGAGGGGATGTCTCTCCAGCCTTCCAGCTGGGGCAGTAGCAGCATCAGGCCTCCCCAGGGACACACCTGATGCTTTCCCACCGTCACATTCCTCTGAGCCCCCTCTTCAGGAGTGGGTACCTGGGACGGCAAGGTCAATCAATGGAGCGTTCCAAGAGCCCGTTTGTTTTCTTTACAGTGTGGAGGGGTGGTGGGACCAGGTTCTGTGGAGTCCTGCCATCATCCTTGCCCAGATAACTAGTCATCCTGTGAACTGAGCCAGAGGTGCCTGGAAGGAAACAAGCCCCTGGCGGGGGCGGAGACTCCTCTTGTTCATTTGTTACATTCATCCAAATATTTTTTAGTGCCTTCCACGTGCCAGGCACAGCTAGGTTTGCAAATCTTGAGAATTAAATGGATGTGAGATGGTGGGAGCAGACCCAGAGGTAAGGAGGTGCAGTAACACCTGGGCCAGCTGGAAGAGTTGTGTGGCCAGCTCCACCCAGCCCTGAGGGGCACAGAGTTACTCAGGAGGTGCCTGCAAACTTGCATAAGTCAGAAGTGGTTCTCGGGACTTCCCTGGTGGTCCAGCGGGTAAGACTCCCCGCTCCCAAGGCAGGGGGCCCGGGTTTGATCCCTGGTCTGGGAACTAGATCCCACATGCCGCCAGAAGTCCGCATGCCGCAACTAAGACCCGGCACAGCCAAAATAATTTATATAAATAAATAAATATTTTAAAATAAATAAAGAAGCAGTGGTTCTCCCCAGAGGTGGCTCCCTGAAGTCTGGCCTTCAGGGGTCTGCTATAAGAAGAACAGGATTACAACTGAGCCCCCTTACTAGGCTAAGGAGAGCGGAGTGGTGCTCTTCCTGGGTTTAGGTCAGTAGTTCTTAATCTTTTTTAAGGATCATAGATTCCTTTGGAAAAACAAAGATAACTGTGGACTTTCTCCTTAGAAAAGTATGCTTGCATATACTTTTTTTTTTTTTGCAGTGCTGCATGGCATGCGGGATCTTAGTTTCCCCACCGGGGATCAAACTTGCGCCCACTGCAGTGGAAGCGGGGAGTGTTAACCACTGGACTGCCAGGGAAGTCCCTGCATATACATTCTTGCACACAATTTCAGGGGCTCTTGAATCCCCAGAAGTGCATCCTTGGTTCCTGAGTCTTATGAGAATCTCTCCTTTAGACCTGGAGTCTGAACCTCTGCCAGGGCACTGCCTGCCAGGAACAGATGATTCAGCTCACTTTTCAAGGAGGAAACTGCTCCATCAGAGCAACTGCAGGACTCTGCCTGCCCTCCCAGCCCAGGCAGGAATCTGGGCTTGACCCCCAGATTGGCCCTGCTGAACCCAGAGGCTGATCTTGGGATGAACCTCCCAGAAGCGGGAGTCTCCTCTCTCCCTACCTCTGAGAGGAAATCCAGTAAATCTGTGTCCAGCCTCAGCTGTCATCCCTTTCCTCCACTTCCCTTCTGTTCCCCTCTCTGGGTCAGCTTGTGCTGGAAGGCTCTACAAAGGGAGCACCCTAAAAGTAACCCATGTGTTGGGAAGTGAGCGTCAGACAAAGGTGAGGTTTCTGTCTTCCCTCTGCATTGTTTTTACATTTTTTTATCCTTGGGATGATAACTACCTCTCCCTTCATCCTTCCATCCTGCCCTGCTGGCAGCCTCGTCTCTAAGTTCTCTTGGGAGGAATGGGCCTGTGACCTCTCCCCACCCACTCCCCTTTCCACTATCAGACAGAGTTCTCCCGTTGCAGGTGGGCCCTGGGACGACCCTGGCCTCCCATCCCTCTCATCTCTTCTGAGAGCCTGCTCCACCTGCCAGGTTTCTCATCTACACAGATAAGACACGTTCCAGTGGGGTCCTTCTACCTGCCAGTTGACTTTATTTTCTCCCTCTGGCTTCAGTCTGGACATCAGCTGTGCTTCCTTCTTTTGCCTGTGTCCCCGGTGGCAGCAGCATCAGAGGGAACTGCCAGAGCTAACAGATGACTGGAGGGGAGGAGGGGCAGCCGCCAGCTTCCAGCCTCCCTGACTCAGGCACACACGCTGGTTGCCCTCCACATCTTCAGGTGCGCAGGTAGGTCTACAGCTGGGATGGGGTGGGGCTCAGGGAATACTGGGAATGTTCTATTTATGGAGACATGCACAGACTAAAGTAGATGGGCAAGGAGCAGAACTAGCACAGATACCAAGTAACCGTCTAAGCTTCGCCCGGCTTTCTGATGGTCTGCTTCCCTCACACTCCTGAGCTGTCCCTCCAGCCTCAGCTGTCCCAACCAGGAAGCGGGAAAGGGGCTGTGTGGGAGGCTTGGGTCCTTCCTTTCACAAGGACACAGGGGCTGGGGAGAACCTCTGGGCCCCCCTCTTGACCTATTTGCCTTTGGAGACTGAAGTCCCTTTGAGAGCTGTTAACTGGATGAGAACACTTCTTGAGTGTAGCATTGGAGGGGCTGAGGCTCCTGGTAGTAAGGAGGGGTGAGGGTGGGGAGAGAAGTGGCCCCTGTTGCCAAGGGGTCCTACCCTGCCTCACCTCTGCACCCAGGATTCTGAACACAGCCCCACTCATGCATTAAAGACCATGGCCAGAAGGGGCCCAGCCCAGACAGGGTCCAGGCTCTCCTCTGTATCACATCACCCTGGCAGCCATCATCTGTGAGATCCAAGTGCTGATGGAGGGCCAACCCTTGATGGCAGGGAAACATGCCCTGTTAGCCCTGGGAAATCTGGGGGCTGGGTTGTGCTCAGCCTCCCAGGGTTGGGCGGGAAGATAGAATAAGGTCCCCCTCTCCCATCTCCAGCAGTTTTCTGCCTCGCATGGAAAAACTTGAACCTGGGCTTAGCAGACCCTTACAGATCTGATCCCTTCGTCCTGGGGGAACCAGAGCTGGCATCCAGCTATCCAGGGTCTGAGAGCTACCTCCTGCCCTTAGCTCACCTCTGATTTAGAAACAGGGTTGGGTCTGAACCCTGAAGAATCTGGACAAGGGGAGCCCTGACTTCTGACCCTCTCTGTGACCCAGCATTTCCCTGCCCTGGGTTCTGAGGAAGCCCATCACCCGCCACTCCCCACCCCCAGCAGCTTCTGATGTCAGAGGCAAATGAGGCCACATCAGAAGCACCGGATGTCTATTTCCTGTCACTGCACCTGCTCCAGCTCTGTCTCCCCTCGGGCCTGGGATGCTGCTGTTGCCATGCCAACAACATTTACTCTCAAAGGGGCCGTTACCAGGCTACAGGCCCCTTTGTGCCTGCCTCAATGTCACTCTGAAAGTATGACTTGCGGGAAGCAAAAGCCCAGCCCCTGGGACCCCTTATTCCATACAAGTTGACCCCCCTGCTCCCAGCCTTAGTTTACTCCTTTGCATAGCGTAGTAATGGGAATCTCTGTTTGCAGCCCTCCCCTGGGCTGCCCAGGACCAGTCCCTCACTCTCTCGGGCTCCTGGCCTACCTCTCAGAAGATGTCTGTGACCGGTAGTAGCCATCAGGCTGCTTTGCTCCGAGATAGCTGTCCTAAGCCCAGGGACCCCAGCCTTTCCTGGTCCAGGTGACCAACCCTAACCTGTGACTGCTCCTGGGCCCTGAGGCTATCCCATCTTTTCACCTGTGTCGTGGCCCCTTCTACTTAACCGCTGCATGACCTTTCCTTAACCTTGACTCTTGAGCTGGTTGCTTCCTGCAGTGGTCTCCTCTCTCCTTTTCCTCCTACCAGTCCTCCTGCAGGTCCTACTGGTAGCCCAGAACCTGGTGAGAAGCCAGCTGACCCCCGCCCCTGTCCAGGTAAGCGGCAAAGCAGTCTGTGAAAGGGGAGAGAGCCTCCTGGATGCCTTCACCCGTGGGAAGAGGGCCACAGCGTTCAAACCCTCCCACAGATGTCCCATAGCTTCCACTGCTATGGAGAGGCGTGCAAACCAGGAAGCAGAGCCTTTCAACCAAAGAGCAGAGTGCAGCGCAGGGGAGAGCTACTGCGAGTGCAGGGGTAGGGCTGCTGTGGGGGACCAGGCAGGGTGCTGCCAGGAGGGGCTGCTGCAGGGTTGGAAGGGGTGTGACATTCAGGTACCTCCAGTAAGGTGCTGGGAGGGAGGTGCTGAAGCGGAAGAGAGAGGAGTCGGTGTTTGGGTTGCCCTGAGAGTTGAGATATGGCCCGGGACTGGCTGGCCACCCCCCATCCCCCTGGACTCGCAGGCACTCTCTTTACCCAGCTGATCCAACTCAACGCTTCCCACTATATGGCCTGGTGCAGCCTCAGTTGTGAGGGGAGAAATGAAACCAGCCCCAGCCCTTACCTGCTGGCCTCTAGCCCCGACCCGGCTCTCTGCAGTGCTGCAGTGGTGGCCCGCTCTGCCTGGAGCTCAACCAGTCGGCCTCGGGTGAGACAGTCCCCCTAGCCTGCAGCTCTGAACCCCTCCTCCGTGGTCCTCCAACTCCAAGCCCCTCCTCCATTGCCCTCCACTCTGACTCTTCCTCCCATTGGCCCCATAAGTTCTGAGCCCCGCCCCACCTGTCCCCAGCCCTGAGCCTTGCCCACCCACTAGCGCCCAGCTCTGAGCCCACCCTCTGACAGGCCCCCAACACCTGAGCTGTTTTCCCCAACCTCCCCAGCCTCTATCAACACCCCAACCTTGTCGGGCTGACCCTTAGCTTTGAGGTCTACCCTCCTCCTCAGTGCCCCACCCCTTCTGGATTTTCCCCTTCTGACTCGCCACCTTTCCCCGCCCAGCTGGGCCAGTGCTCTCCTCCCCACAAGCTCCAAGGAAGCCAGAGCAAGTTCCTGTGCGTCTCCAGGTGGCAGAGATGGGAGAGTTTCAGGTTGTGAAGTCCACACACAAGATGCCCTCCCCTGGGGGGCGGCCTGGGGCTTTGCAGAGGAATTGTCCCCCAGCAGACGTGTCATAGCCCTTCCCCAGACAGCTCTGCTCTGCTCCCAGGCCTAGGCCACCTGACCATCCCAGAGGAAAAGACACTTCCCACTCCACCACTGGTGACCACCACCCTGCCAGCCCCCAAGAGAAACATGAGTGTCTGTCCACATCTGCCTGCTCTGGGAAGTGGAAGCAGGAATGGACAGCGAGGGGTGGCTGTGGCTGGGGCCAGTGGGACAGGCAGGATGGGGCTCCAGCCCCGCCTCTGTCTGGAGCTCACAGGGCTCCACACCCCTTACCCTTCCCTTCACTCTCTCTTCAAGGGGAAAATCTCCTGCCAAGGCAGAAAGCTGTGGCCGAGTGCCCCGAGGGCTTGGACTTCTGTGAGGTGGGCCCCTGAAGTGCTCCAAGGTTGGGTGCTGCCCTCCCTCAGAACTGCAGGCCTCCCTTCTCCCCCGCTCGACGAATGGGTCAGCAGCCGAATCGGGCTGGAGCTAGACCTGCTGAGGGCCAGGCTGCTCGACCCTCTGAGCTCCACATTATGCTGAAATCCAAGGCAGTGGCTGGAATCTTCCGTGTCTGTGACATGCCCCCTTGTTTCTGATCACCCTGTATGTTCTCTGGGGACTGGCTGGCTGGCCTCATGGGGGTGGAGAGAGGGGTCCAAGGAAGTTCAGCTCAGCCCACAACCCAACTTAACATTTTTTGTCTCTGTGAATGGGGGACGAAGGCAAGGGGAGGATGAACGGTCTCATCTCTTTTTGCAGCTGAAACGGTCCAGCTCAGGCTACACTGCAGGGCGCAGCCAGGCCTGCGTGACAGGGACGCCCAGGTGTCACAGGGCTGTGGCTCAGCCCTGCTACCAGGAGTGCTGCCAAGCCTCAGCCTCAGGCAGCTGCCTCCAGCTGGATGAGAACCTCCACTTCAACGGGGCCGCACCAGGGGCCACAAGGAGCCCCCTGCCCTGGACCCTGGCTGGCGCTCTGCTGCTGTTCCTTCGCTCAGCAGTCAGGGAGCGGCAGGCAGGAAGGTCCCATAGGCCCTGCAAGTCCCCAGGCCCACCCCCAGCTCTGATTCCTGTAGCTGTATCTTTTTTTTTTAATTAAAAAAAATACATTTATTTATTTTAATTTATTTATTTTTGGCTGCATTGGGTCTTCGTTGCTGTGCGTGGGCTTTTCTCTAGTTGTGGCGAGCGGGGGCTACTCTTCGTTGCAGTGCGCGGGCTTCTCATTGCAGTGACTTCTCTTGTTGAGGAGCACGGGCTCTAGGCATGCGGGCTTCAGTAGCTGTGGCATGCGGGCTCAGTAGTTGTGGCTCGTGGGCTCTAGAGTGCAGGCTCAGTAGTTGTGGCGCACGGGCTTAGTTGCTCCGCGGCACGTGGGAGCTTCCCAGACCAGGGCTCTAACCCATGTCGCCTGCATTGGCAGGCGGATTCTTAACCATTGTGCCACCAGGGAAGTCCTTGTAGCTGTATCTTTAGTGAGAGGGATTTATCAAGTCCACAACTCTGTGCTAGAGGCTCCCAGGGCCTAGGCCTGAACATGATGCTCTCCAAGGGGACAGGGCCTTAGCCCCATTCCCAAGGAGAGGCTGGGATTTGTCTGGAAAAACAGAACAGTCTCCTGTCTGACCCCCATCAAGTAGGAGGACCCCAAAGTCCTGCAGGGACAGTTTCTTCATCTATAAAAATGCCCGGTCCCGTCTACTTTTCCCAGATCCTCCCCAGACTTTGACACAAAGAGGGGGGCTGGAATTGGGGTTCCCCTGCTTTCCTGCAATGACCACCACCCCCTTTATCTTTAAGGGTCTAAATCAATCCCCTTTCTCCTCATCCCCCACACAGCTTTAAAACCAAATTCAAATAAACTTGAGCTCCATTTATGCTGTGGATATTTCCAGGAAAAGAAGAAGATTGGTAAGAAGGTGATGTCTGTTTCTGGAAGAGGTTTGCGTATACAAACTTGAACTGGTCACTAAGGCAGCAACTCTAAGCTTAGGGAAAAAGGAGTGAGGATGGGTTAGAAGTCACATGCTCACTCTTTCCCCTGCACTTACCCTTTAGTTTGGGTCAAAGCTTGAGAGAAAGAGTATTCATTAAGATAATTCACTAATTCAATAAACATGTTCTGAGGGTCAACTGTGTCCCAGAAACTACCCTGGGGTGATGAGGAAAAGATACAGCCTGTCCTCAGGGAGCTTACAGCTTAGTGAAATGGCCAATCGGCTGGGAGAGGCCGGTCCTGGGCTCCCTGATCTGAGCCCTTTTTGTCCACCTGGAGCAGCCTGCTTATCTTAGGTGGGAAATCGAGGCCCCAAAGGAGGAAGACCTTGCCCAGGTGCCTATGGCCAGTGAATTGGGGGAAGGGACCGGAGAACAGCAAAGTACAGCCTCAGGCTGTCCTGAGAGCTGAGTGGCCCCCTCCCCTGAACTCTTTCCTCCCTGAGAAGGAGAGAGGATAGAGCCTCAGCACAGTACTGCATATGAACAGGATCACACCCTTTACAATGTGCATTCTCATCCTTTACCCCCAAACAGCCCCATGAGGCAGGCGGGACCAGGTGCTCCTGTCACACACACCTCACACACACAGCGCTGAGGCTTAGGGGGGGGAAGGGAGGCATGTGGCAGTGTCCATGGCACAGAAGTTGGAGTCACACTTTCAGTTGAGGCCCAATTTTGCCACTTTGCTAGGTGCGAGGCCTTGGTCAAATTGCTTAATGTCTCTGAGCCTCAGTTTCTACACCTGGGAAATGGTGTAGTGGTTTTTCACAGTGTTGTTCTCCTTTAAGCTAGGATGGGGTAGTTAGCTGGGGAGGAAGCGTTCCAGTAGAGGCCAGTGTTGGCCTGCCTGGAGTGAGAGGAGTTGAGGATGAAACTGAGAAAGTGTTTTTCCTTAAAGTGACCATCTTCCTTCCAGGCCCTGGGAGGGGAGCTCTGGCCCCATGACTTCCAGGACCGAGGGTGAGCCGAGGGCAAGTACTTAGGAAAAGCTTTCCGGAATAGGGAGCCCAGGGTAGCCCAAGACCTAAGGAGTTAACGGGGGCAGGGAGGACCCCCCACCCCCACCCCCCCCCCGCACTGGCGTGGGCAGGCTGGGCCTTGCAGACTGGCTGACCGTCGTGTGGCGTGGGGGCTTCTGGGAAATGTAGTCTCTGGCTGGGTCCCGGGGCCGCGGTGTTCCGCACACCCAGCAGCGGTGACAGCTCAGGAGGTAGGCGGCGATGGCAGGGGTGTGGGAGCAGGTGCGGAGCAGGGAAACCAGGGCGGGGCTGGGCAGGAGGGACTGGGCAAGCTAAGGGCTGGGACCCCTGTCCTGATGCTGTCAGAGCCGGACACTCTCGGCCTTCGGCTGACGCAATGGGGCCTGCTGGGCTGGGGGAGGGCCAAGGAGTAATGGGACACTTTCCCATCTCCAGGGAAAAAGGGACAGAAATGGGGTCCTTGTTTAGGATGAGAGCTCCCTTCCTGAGATACGTGCAGATACACCCCTGACACTGCCCAGAGAGGTGCCAGCAGGACTAATACTGCTCCCCAAAAAGGAAGGCAGAGCCCCATCCCAGGAGCAATAGGACTTGTCCTCCTCTCCAGTAATGGGACAAGGCACCCCACGTCCAACAAATAGACTGGACCCCACTTAGAAGCGACTGGATGCCGTTCAAGACAAAGGGCGGTACAGCAAATTGTACCTCTCACCGGGGGCAAAGGGATGGCCCCTCTCCCTAGAAACTAAAAGGCTCGTTCTCAGGGGAAGGGGGAGGGGGAGGAGGAGGGAGCGGATGGGGCCTCCTCCGCCTTCTCCCAGCACAGAGCCCCTCCTCCCTGCCCCCAGCCCTCCCTCAGGCAGCTCCATAACCTCCTGAGTGACTTGTTCACCTAAGGGGCTCCCATCTGCCCTCCCCCGGGGTGTGTCTGCTCAGCAGGGGCCAGCATGGACCAGTCTGTGGCGATCCAGGAGACCCTGGCTGAGGGGGAATACTGCATCATCATATCCTTCCCTGCGGGTGCCGAGCTCCCAGCCCCAGGGCCTGCCGTGCCTGGCCTTGGGAAGTGGAATGGCAGGTGTCTATGTGTCTGTCTGCTTGCCTCCCTCTCTCTGGGCCTTCAGGGGGAGATGGAAACCTGTACATACTAAGCAGTTAGTCCTGGACTCTCTGCCGGGTGCTTTAAATACTCAGTTATCCTCCCACCCCCTGTGACGTTGGGGGTTACTCTCCCCATTTCACAGATGAGGAAGGGTGGGAGAAGTGAAACCACAGAGTGAATCTGTGTGGGTGAGGGTGGGGCGGGGCAGGGCAGGGCAGGGCAGGTGGGGTGGGCTGGGTTGGGCGAGGCCTGGGGCCCGGCTCCCTTTTGGTTTGCCTTGACCCTGAGCTGCAGGCGGTGCAAGGAGCGCTGTGTGAGGGAGAGAGCAGGCAGAGCCGCCTCCTGGGACTCGTGCGTTACCGCCCGGAACATGGTGGCCAGGAACATGCGTCAGTGACTGGTTCAGTCCTTGCCTCTCTGGCTCTGGGTTTGATTATTCTCCACTGTCCCTCCAGCTGGACTTCATGCCCTCTAGGGCAGAGTCTGAGGCTTCTAGAATAATTGTAATAATGATAATAGTTTTTGACCACTATAGGCCAAGCCCTCTGTATTCTTAGCTCATATAATCCTCAAAATTTGATGAGAAAACTTCTCAGGAAGATGGTTGAACATACTGCTCCAGATCTTGAGCCCTTCGGCCTGTCTTGGGTTCAAATTCAGGCTTCGTTACTTCCGAGCCATGTCATCCTGAGCAAACCTCAATGTGTCCAGACTGAAGATTAAAATGAGTTACTACATGTAAAGTGTTTAAAATGCTGTGAAGCATATAGAAAGGGCTCCATAAATGTTGCTAGTAATACCCACATATTACACAGAAGCAGAGAGAGAATAATTAATATTTATCAATGGTCTCACAGCCAGAAAGTGAACCTCAGGGTCTCAGAGCTGGGAAGGAGGAGCCTTAGACATTTTTGAACCCACCACCCTCACCTTACAGATGAAAAAGCTGAGGTTCAGGGAGGGAGTGGGGAGGCTAAGATTGCCCTGTTCTTGTCACTTGCAGTGCTAGAACGCACAAGGGGGAGATCAAACATGGGTTTTACTAACAAGGCAGGGGCTCCCCGAAATGAGGCAAGTTCAGCTTTGATGACCCAACAGTCTCTGGTGGGTAACATGAGCAGAGAGGCATGAGCACAGCCCCAGGAACCAAGGAGAGAGTGTGAGCACCCCGAGGCTTCCCCGATGGGCCTGAGGGACGACTAGACTACAGGCCCCCTGTCCTCACTCTGCTTCCTGCCCTCAGTCTCTTCCTGTACACACACCGGAGGATGGCCGTTACCGGGGATGATGTCTCCTTGGACCAGATCGTGCCGATCTCTCGGGATTTCGCTCTGGAAGAAGGTGCCACAGGGGCCTGGACAGGATGATCCCTCTCCTCTGGGGTCCCGGGTCATTTCTGCCCTTGTTGGAGGTGGGGCGTTGGGAGGAAGGATGATGCTCAGTTGCTAAGGGCCCTTTCGTTTCCCTGCCCGCAGTGTCCCTGGATGGTGAAGTCTACTTTCTTGGTGAGTGGTCCTTTCAGTCTGAGTCCCAGTTGGGGCAGGGGGAACAGAATCTGCAGAGAGAAGAGTGGTGTGAAGTAAAAGCACTTTCTGATCGTCTCACTGTGGCACGCAGGACCCTGCAGGATGAGGCCCCGGTCATCTCTCCAGTCACTCCTTTCCCTGCTTGCTGCACTTGGAATCCTCTGCATTCCACGCGCCTCAAACGTGACGCGTTTTCACCACGGAGCCCCTGCACACGCTACTTCCTCCTCTCGAAAGCCCTCACTCCTCTTTTCGCATAGCCAGTTATCCTCCAGGGCTTCAGTTCACACTGACTTTCCTCGGGAAGCCTTTGTTGAACTCCTGAGAGTGTTTGTATCCGAAAGTGTTTGTATTTCACTCATACGCATTCCTTTGTCTCGTCCTTACCGCCTCTCTGTCACCCACAGTGATTTAATTATTTATAGTGGCCTATCTAATGTCGGTGTTCTTTGCTGGACTGCAGTCGTAATAGCAGAGGTAGTAATAATAATCATAGAAATGAATATTTAATCAGTGATGACCTCGCG